GCCGCGCACCCCATCACGCGCCGCGTGGCTCCCCCATCTAGCGCCGCGCTCCATCCTGCTCCGTGCCGTGCTCCATCCGCCGCCGTGCCCGCTCCTGCTCGCTGCACGTCGTGCCGCGTTCCCCACGCGTACCGAGGTGCTGCTGACGCCGTCGTTCCCTACCAGAAGGTCGTGGCCGCTATAAATGACGTGGTCGCTGTGACGCGCAACCTCAGCAAGGAGATGCTGCGATGAAAGCGCATGTTGCAAGCGTATGTTTTAAGTGTTTCAGACATTTTAGAGGTATGTTACAATTGTTTCATATGGATGTTGCAAAAGTAGATCAGGGATGTTGCACATGTTGCATATGTTGCAAGTGTTTCAGATGTATGTTGCGTGTGCTTGAGAGGTTTGTTCAAAATATTTCATCTGTTCCAGATGTACGTTGCAATCGTTCTGATCTGGATGTTATGTTTCACACACATGTTGCAACAATATGTTCCAAATGTTTCAGCTATTTTAATCTTATATTACAGTAAGTGTTTTCATGTTGCAAGTGGCAAGTGTTTTATGTAAATGTTGCATATGTTTCACACATATGTTGTAAGTGTATGTTCCAGATGTTTCATCTGTTCCATATGTATGTTGCATTCAAGTATTTCATGTTGCGTGTGTTTCATTTTGTTCGGAGAGTCAGGGCGAGGGAAGTGGGGAGCGATGGTGGCATGGCACGAGCGCCGATGAATGGGGCGCAGTGAGTTGGGGGCCAGCGGACGAGGCGCGCGGTGCGCTGCGAACGAGGCGCGATGGGGACAGGGTGGGCATGCGGGGCGGGGCGAACGGCCTCGAATCGAGGCAGACAGGACGGGCTGCGCGTGCGAGGCAAGTCATCTGGACACACAAGCGTTGCCAACGAAGATTTTGCGGCTCTAAATCGTAACTGACGCCGTGTTGGATCGCTGGGCCAAGGTGGGAACGAGGGCAGCATTAGCGATGCCAACAAAGATTTTGCAGCTCTAAATTGTAACTGGCGCCATGATTGATCTGCTGGGTCAAGGTGGGAGTGAGGGAAGATGGAAAAAATTTAGTTCTTTAATATTAAAAATAAACTAGCAAACTTATGATTTGCGACTCAAGTATTTTCATTCTTTAATATTATCTAGGTATAAACTAGCAAACATACAATTTGTGACTTGGAGGTTTATTCAAAGATTATGCTATTTCTTCCTATGCATCTTGGAATCGAATTTCATATTGGTCAGAATTTTTTATTGAATTTATGACCAGGGCTCTTAGAATTCGATTTATTCTCCTCAATCAGAAAATCCCATCAAGGTAAGAATTTTTTTTTATTTCTGTCACTTTCTAACATGTATTTGTGCTCGTTTTACGCTGTATCAGAATTTCTGATGGGGATCAAAATTTCGATCCTGGGCAAAAAGTGACATAACAGCTACCCTTTTGGGGATGAGTATTTACCTCACTCCCCTTCACTCCATTCAGCTCCTCCACCTTGATGAACACCTCTCTCTAGGCCATTTGATCTCTCCCCTCCCTTTTTGTGAGGATTGATTGATTCTTGTGGGATCTAAAAGAGTTGGGGTTGAGAGATTGTGTGGTTAAGAGCAAGAAAAAGCAATCTCACCCTTGAGCACTTGTGGATCTTGTCAAGTATTTGGGGGAGTGTTTGTTACTCTTGAACATGAAACCTTCTAGAGGTAACGAGTTGATTGGCGAGCTCCCAAAATTACGGCGAGCCATGGAAAGTTTGAAGGTTTTGATTTCACCTCCGCAAGGAAAGAAACCAAGGTAGAAAAAGTGAGAAAAATGTATGTCTAAGGTCTGCATGTACTATGTGTTTTGGTAGAGAAGAATAGGTAATAATTGATACATGACAGCCAACAATAAGAAATAACTGAGTTATCAAGGTTTTTTTTTTCAAATTTACTGTCGTTTCAACCGTGTGTCTCGGGCGTCGTGTTTGTTTAGTAACCATATTAGGCTTTGTTTTGATGTTGTTGGATTCACCTCGATCTACATGTGTTGGGACGGAACTTAGTTAAAATTTTACTCCAATGACCCCAACACATGTGGAGTTAAAGTTTCACTCCAATCCACCCCGACACATGTAGATCAACGTGAATTCTACAACATCCAAACAAGGCTGAGGTCATATTCGTCCCCCAGCCCCCAAGGATTTTTTAAATGAAAAACAAGAGAACGAAGATTATCAGGGCTGACTAGTGGGTAGGGATAATTAGATCCATGTATTAGTGGGAGCTTAGGCCTCGTTTAGTTCCGCCGAATTGCCGGCGGCAGGAACACTGTAGACACACTGTAGCTACAGTGCCGTTTGTTTTTATTTGGTAATAATTGTTCAATTGTTGACTAATTAGGCTCAAAACGTTCGTCTCGCAAAGTACAACCAAACTGTGCAATTAATTTTTGATTTCGTCAACATTTAGTACTCCATACATGTACCGTAAATTTGATGTGACGGAAAATCTTCTTTTTACATAGTGTCGAATTCTGGAATTTAGGGCAAACTAAACGCGGCCTTAGTGACCTTTTTCAAGGCTTGTACTAAGCTAGGGGTCTCGTAGGTGTAAAGGTGAGCCGTCCTAGTCGTCGTGGTACGGCTTAACCTGCTGTCTATCTTGTGAAGTCCTGATTCCTGACGCTGTCCTGACATAGGCAATAATCGCGCACAGGTCTACATTCTGGTGGCAATAATCGCAAGTACGCGACAGCTACATTTCGTCTACATCCATCAGTCATGAGTAACGTATCCCAGAAAAAGGGGACATTGTTACAAGCAGGTCAGCAACCAGCAACTGAACACTCTGATCGCTGCGGCCTGCGGGGGTACAGATCATCCGAACAGCTATCAACCTGATGGTATCTCATTATCAAATTATGTCAACAACATGTAAACAACATTAAGTTACTTGCATGATCTCACCATGGCAATAGATAGGAAGGAGTTAATAAACAGATTAGATGGTACGCCTCATTTGTTCATATGAGGAACGCGCAACAGAACCTAAACGGTAAACTGTCAGGCGCAGACTACCCACGTCACAGAACAAGGAGAACGGTAAGCTCTGAAGCAGCGGCGGTCTACTGGGGGTAACCGGGGACTCTTGACTTCGTCTGATATATACACACGGGCACATCTAAGCCGACGATCTTGACTTGGGTCAATTCTGTGCAAGCTTCAGCAGGCTACCATGGGCCAGTCAGGGTGCGGCGCAGGCAAAGTTTCTTTGCCTTTGGTCCATGTTGGTTGTTGATTCGCTCCAGGACCTGCAAAAACCATTTACAGAGAAACTTCTGTGAGCCAAGAAAGCATTGCCTAATGGGAACCGTCATTTTCCAACTGATGAATATGCAGTGCATCAAAATCGGCAGCCAAAAAGATCAACTAAGATTTTCACAAAATTTTCCGCTACAAAATAGACACAAAATTTTCACCAAGATTGTCATGGAAAAGCAAACTTCTCAGGTTAATATGTTAAAAGTAATAATCAGAACCAAGAACTGTCTGAATTTCAGAAAATTAATAATGCATGCTTTGCTATTTTATCTCACTAAATCTTGAGGATGTCAACACCGATATTGTTGTTCACTCACTGACGAGATTTTCTTTTAAAAAATATCAACTAATCGGGACAAGTTAAAATATAGACGTGGTAGCACAAAGCAAGGTACAATTGCTAGTGTTAGCATTCTATTTCCAATAAGTAAACATCATGCCATATAAATCTTATTTATGTGAAGCCCTCTTTATTTAAAATTCGAACTAATTAATCAGATAAAAGATAAAAATATAACATCTCAATAGAGTTAACTCATTACTTTACTAAATTATGTCAAGAAGCGATGCATGAAAAGTGTATGCAGCAGTGTCAAAAGTTTCAATTGAATGTGTATCCTATTCGCAATGGTACATTTCTTTGCTGTCAAACTAATTCACATAGGATACTAATTGATATGTACCTAGAGTGCTCTGATAGGCTTGTGGTGAAACCGTGAAAGATATGCCGATGTTAGAATTCAAATATGATTTTTTTTTTGGTTAGCAGAAACTATGTCATATGGAAGTTTTGGTATCCTAAACATCTCATGCATAGAATGGAATGTTGTATTGAAACCTATACCTTTATTGAATCCCTTGACTGGACATGCCAAGGTTTATCACATAAGAACTGACAAGTTGATATTCCCAGACCTTGCCCCATACTTAAATTGGTCAGCTTTTTGCAATTTGTATTCATATTTAACCATATGATTTATTTGAAATTGTTTTGGCGAATTAACTTTTAAGATCCCTTAGAGGAAGACAACAGTCTCCAGATAATGTCAGTAGAGTTTTTGAAATCAAGGGACCTCCTAGAACTTTTTTTTCCCTGAGACCGTGCATGTGCACGTATTTCATTAAGAGGAAGTAGAATTTGGATTACAGGAGCAGGCCACCAATGGTAATGATAATTACCATCAGAGGGACCTCCTAGAACTGCAGGCTATGGCAGCATTCCGGAGTCAAGTTGATGGTTTCTATGTATCTGGCACGCCTAGTACATGAAACAGGCACAACAAAACAGGACAGAAACGAGAATCAAGTCATCACTTTTGAATGTCATTCATATTTATGTGTATCTGGTAGCTGCATTTGAATGTCATCACTTTTGAATGTCTGCCTAGATGCTCAATGCACAAAAAAATCATGCAGAACAAAACCAGATGGAAGATAAAAAAATCAAGTCATCCCTATTTCCATGCAATGAATTTATTTATCATTTTTGGATACTAACTCAATCAATCTTTTTTCTTATAAACACTGAACATAATGGATGAATGAACTGGTTGACATCATGTTTTACGAACAAGTCTATGGTTCAGAAAGTTTTTGGGTGCAAAAGGAGAAACTTTCAAAATCATGTAACAAAATAATATGGACATGAAAATGCAATAAGGTCATCATGCATTGATTTAGTGATAGGTACATGTTGGAGTAAATTCTAGGCGTATTTCTGGAAAAAAAAAATCAAACTCTTGTCCAACCAAACATCAGCAGGTTTGTATCATGGGAAACTAGGAAGAAGAAAGAGCCACACTGAAATGTTGTGAGGCAGAGGCTAGATCCGTGAAAGTTCCATGGAAAGGATTAAACCAATTATAAAAATAAATAGAAAAACATAAAAGGATTGTTGCTTAACAGCAGCATATCATCAGCCCCCGCCTCTTTCCCCAACATTAAGAAAACATGCAATAGTGATCAGGCAGAGTCTAAAGAGAACTTGGTAAAGCTTCTACAGAAATGAAAAATCTGAACAGCAGTATTTTCCCCAAATGGAAGATCATTACCTCATCCTTTTGCTTCTTTAGCATTTCAACCTGCACAGTGAAGCATAATAAGTTAATATAGCCTCTTTCGTTTTTATCAGGAGTTAAGAAGAAACAAACTATCATGCATGAAATGGAACTTAGGTCTGAAATATAAAAATCCCTAACACCCGTTTGGATCCTTTCATTTTGGAGGAATTCGAATCTACTTTATGGACTAGGCTATTTGGCTTGGAATTTGACATTCTAGAACTTTTAAAAGTTTAGATATAGCCTGTCTTAAATTCATGAGTTGAGAGATAGAACTAGATTCCATTGATCGCCATGCTCTGTTTTTGCTCTGCAACTTATGCCACGTTCTTCGGCTCGCTAACATGCAACAGCAGTGCAGAACACAAGTATCTCCCCTAATGTGGCCAACAATGCATACAAGTATGTTACGCATGTGACCATGTTAACTTGATCTGTGCCTAAATTGTGATTATTGGAATTGATTTCATTCTAAGGATCCAAACAGAGACTAAGAGTTAAGCTAACCAGAAATTGCCTTCATTTGTCTCAACATCAATGAGGTGAGGTGATAACGCTACAGTGCTACACAATGGATAATACAAGTATGCAACACTAGCAATTTAACAATAACATCAGATGCCCAGGTGATACATGTGACAATTGAGGTCTGATAATTCGATATACATAATATACATTTCAAAATAGACATAAATCAAAATACCATTGTAACAACATTAAGCTCATGAAAGATGTGTGCCCAAACTAGCAGGTTACGAGCTCAAGTCTAAGACAACATGCATCAATCTATATGTGCAGTCTCCATCAGTTGCTCAAGGCAGCTAGTTCGATGCAGAACATATGCAACAAGGATCAGGCATTTGGAAGTTCCTACCAAATGTGGCAACTTACCTGCTGTCATGCAAGCAGCAAGCCTCATTATAAAATTAAAAAGTCTCTAGGAGCTCAAATCTCTAGAAAAAGGTACCAATGTGGAGAAAGACTTCATCGAAGTCCAATATGAAGAGATTATCAAAGGAACACAGATTGAGTACATTCATTGATACGGTATACAAATAATGTGCATACAACCTTGAAAGAAAATCTTTTTTTTTAGTGGCAACCAGTGGCGAAGCTAGAGCAATTAAAGAGGGGTGCAAGTGCCTTGTGGGTGCATAGAATGTGTCGTGCATATATGGTGAAATTTTAACCAAACTAACTGTTTTTACATTGGGGGCGATATGCACCCCCTTTCAACAGTGTATCTTCGCCCTGGTGGCAACAACATATCTTTCTTTTTTGAAGAAACTGGAGGGCGAGAGCCCCCACGGCAACAACATATCTTTTAACAAAATATAGCAATTATACCTGCTTTTTCTGCAACTCATCATTCTGATCCTTGAGTTTTGCCACCTCAGCTTCCAGCTCCATTATGTATGCCTACAATGTTAGAAAGCATGCAGTTAAGTGTCTGTACACTGGGTTGTCATTTTAAACTCTTATCAGTGAATTGAACTGACATAACAAATTTCTGTCAAGTAGAGAAATCCAATAAATTTGAGTTCCAATGGAAAATTAGGGGTCAAAGATTATAGCTTATACAGCAGCACATGTGCACCATGGAATAACTTACAGATGTAAAGTACATCAATCATGTCTCTTGTATTTGCAGCTAAAATTAACCGGAAATAACACAAAACCATGTGTTTATGATTGGAATTGTAAATCTCTGTAAGCCCAAGGTGCTATCCCTATCATCTCAATGAGGTGGTTGAAATGATGAAGTCTGTGAGACTGCAATGTGTAATCACCATCTCCCAAATTAACAAACTTATCCAGTGTCCCAGTCTTTCTGAATCTGATAGGGTCAAGTGAACGTTCATTCCCAGATTCTTCACCTCTTTAGATGAAGATAAGAGTATACAATGCAACTTGCTATTTGTAGAGGCTACTTAGCAATAGATTAATATCAAAGAGCTCAACTGGAAGTGGCAGATCACATCAAGTGAATAAAGTACAATATAATCCAGAGGCATACCAAATATAGTCACCATAGAGTTCCATTTCAGACAAATTTTTACTATAATTAAGCTAAAGGTGCAGTGTGATTAACAGACAGCATAGCAGTGCACTGAAAGAAGGAAGGCTCCACCTGCTTCCTCGCACGCGACCTGGCGGCCGACTCCCTGTTCTTGATCATGCGGCGCTGCCTCCTCTCCACCACCTTCTCAACGGTCGGCCCCTTCCTCACCCTCAACGCAGTGTCGAAGGGATACGGCACCGGCGACAGCGACGACAGATCCCCCGCCTCCACCTTCCCCATCCCGTTGAGCACGACCGGCGTCGTGGGCGCCGCCACCGTCATCCCTCCTCCGAGCCCCTGCCCGACGACCCCGGCCACCATCCCGTTCCCCAGCTGCATGGTCTGCGGCGCGACCGCATTGCCCTGGGAGAAAAGCCCCTGCGCGTGCGGCTGCAGCACGAGGGTCTGGTGCCCCATGTCCTCCCGAACCACGCCGGCGCGTACCAGGAACTCCTCCAGAGTCATGGACCCCAGCGTCTGCTGCCGCTGCGCCTGCGCCTGCGCCGGCAGCGGCGCGGGCGTGGGCGCAGGCGCGGGAGCGGGAGCGGGAGCCGCGACCGGCTGCGCGTCCTCCGCGCCGGTGAAGCCCACGATCTCGCGCCAGACCTCGTCGACCGTCTTCTGGCTGAGCGTGCGGGACAGCGTGAAGGAGCCCTGGTGCAGGATGGGCGCCACGGGCTGCTGCTGCGCGCGTGCGTGCGCGTCCACGGATGCGGCCGCCGTGGTCGGGGCGGCCGCGGCCATGGCGTTGGACTCCTCGGCCGTCCAGATGTTGCGCAGCAGCTCGTCCATGTTCATGGAGCCGAAGTCCTTGCTGGCGCCGCCGAGCGTGCTCTGGAACTCGTCGAACGTGAGCGAGTAGACCGAGCCCTGCCGCGCCAGCGACGGGGCCCCTGCCCTCCCGGCATCTCCATCCCGCCTACCGCCTTCTCTCTCTCCTCTCCGCTCCCAAATCCCACCGGAATTCAATTCCGCACCTGGACTGCTGCTCTGAAACCACAGGCGGATGCAGAGGGAAAAGGGGCGCCGAACAGAGCAGGCGACTTTATAGCCGGGCAGCGGCGGCAGCGGCAGAAGCGACAGGAGGGAGGAGGAGACTAGAGCTCCGCTCGAGGGGAGCGTGACCGTGATTAGTTGCGGCTGGCGTGCTACAGTATACCACAATTAGCAAGAGGAAATCCAGTTCAGCGGGGCGAGTTACCCTAAAAAAAAGAGAGCGCAGGGGGAGCACCGGGGGATGTGGAGCTCGAGCGTTGGTGGGGAGCTGGTGCGGCTTTGAGGGAGGCGATCGCGGCGGCGAGGTGGGCGACGGGACAGGTGTCGCCTCGGGGGCAATAAAGTGCTGCTGCGGCAGCCGCTGCCGTCGGGGGACGACAAGGCCCCGCAGCCGGTCAGAGGATTACGGTCGTGGGGGGCGCCGGACAGCGGGGTGCAGCGGATCGCCACAATGCCGCGCACACGGACCAGTGACCACCACACCACACCGTACGAAAACGGCAAGCGAGTTTTTGGGTGCGTGGGTCAAGCACTTCCACTTGCCACACTGTTACAACTTGCAAGTGACACACAATTTTCCTTAAGGTGGCGTTTGGATTGTGGGCTATGATAGGTGGGATAGGAAAATAGAAAGTACTCAGCCTGTTCGTTTGGCTATGGTTTATCGTAAACGATCGTAAATTTTCAGCCAGAATAATATTTTTCTCTCACATAAATCAGCCAGCAGTACTTCTTCACGAACCGGCAACGATACGAACTAGCCAACCGAACAGGCTGACTATCCACACGGTTACAACTTGCAAGTGACACTTACACAATTTTCCCAATGAGTGGCTCGCATCCTGTCCAGCCGCTCGAGCGCGAACCGCGAACGGAGGGACCCGATCGTTTTCGCTGCGAGGCGGGTGTGTGTGGCCAGCCTCGTACGCTGTCGTCGTGTGAAATGGGTCCCGCGATGCATGGCATGCAGCTGCTGCTCGCGTTGTCTTTTCTTGGCGGGCGCCGGGGTTCCAGCCAACTTTTCGCCTAAAATGGCTCAGAAAGTCTTTGTGGGCTGCGGTGCTTGGGGCCAATCTGACTGGAGCGGTGAAGGCCCTGTTCGCTGGTCTGAAACTTGGCTGAAAAATACTATTTCGATTGAATTGTTGTGAGAGAAAAACACTGTTGACTGATTTTGTGAACAGTGAAATATGAGGGGATCATCTGGCTGGCTGGTTCAGACCAGACCAGCGAACAGCCCCGAAATTGAAATGGTTTGCGCGTGTACGGCTTATACGTTGTCATCTGTGACTTCGTGTCTTGGAAGGGTTGAGGATAATAAAGGCTTCTTTCGTCTGGCTAGCTAATACTGTAGTAGGGTTCTTGGTTCACTGGCTGGGTAGAGTCTCAAGTCTCAACAGTGTTTACGAGCCATGGGCTTATCTTAATGAATCTAGTCTGAGCCAATTTTATCTGCGCTATCGATTTAAAGGTGAAGCTAGCGGAAAGGATTTCAAGAAATTGCACTCCTGGCCACGTCTGCAAGAATAGGTCCCGCAGTAGTAGCTGATATCCTCGCGTCGTGCCGCATAAATTCGCTGGCGCCATGGCCATGTCCACGTTTTGACCGCTTGTGTGTGTGTGCTATGGACGAAGCTAGTCACGGAGGCCGGAGGCCAATCATGCCACTGCGCGCCCGGCTGGCCGCCAATGTGCTACACTGTTCCCGGCACAGGATCGGGCAGCTTATCCTGTCAGTCAGACGCATCTCATCCGTCCTGCATGGGGCTCTCACCCACCTGCAACAGCTGCAGACGATCCGGGCCTCCACCTCCTCGGCAATTTTATACGGCGCCCCACCTCCGCCTGTGAGGCTACGCCAGCGCGACAGCCACGGACGGAGGGTAGCGCGAGACGCCCTCCACGTCGCCCCGGTTCTAGTCCTCGCGACCGGCCCCAAGACATTACTCTATTCTGCACGCGGAAGCGCCCTCCGCCGCACGTCACGAGCTCCCTGCGAAACGGATGCCGTACACATGCGACCACAACTCCAACAAGCGAGGCGAGACCCCGTTGCGGATTGGATTGTTGGGTTGGGTTCGATAGGTTTTGTCGTTCCGGTCGCCATCGGTACCTAACGCTAACGTACGTGGTGGCGTCACTGCGAATGGGAGACCAAACAGAAAAAATACGGAGAGCGTCGGCGTCGCTGGCGAACGAGTTTCTCTGCTCGGCTTTACGCCGGTTCAGGGGGTGTTTTCTATGCGGGGGGACACCGAAAGAGGAGTGTTGTTTTGCACCTGGTAGGTAGGTAAAAACTATAGGAAATTTCTGGAAGCCCGATAGTAGAATAATACCCCCGGCACATGTAACGATGCAAAGCTTCTACAGAGTACGTACCAGCTGCCCAGCTGGGCATGCACTGGCCGCTCGCTTGTTACATTGTTTAGTCCAGGTGAGTACTTGAGGCTCCTCATCTTTTGTCCACAGGATCATTGGCCGCTGTTAGCTTTTGTGTCCCCGTGTGTGTTACCTTGCGGTTCCAGTGTTGTATGTGTCACTGCATCTTCAGCGGGTTTGGAAGACGAGGGAGAAACAAGACCAAAAGCATCCTACTTAGGCTTAAAAAAAAAGCATCCTAATTAGGCTTAAAAAACATCCTACTTAGGGTGCCTAATGGCCGTTCGCTAGTTACATTTGTTTAGTCCTGGTGAGTACTTAAGGCTCGTCGTCTTTTGACCACACCACGATAGATCATTGGACGCTGTTAGCTTTTTTGTGTGTGTGTGTGTGAACAAAGGCAGTGCGTGTTTTCTTGCAGTTCCAGTCTTGTAGGTGTGACTGCAATTTGTTTTGGGCCGTTCATGTGGACTTCTGGCTTGGTATAAGTTTTGGGGCCTGCAAATGTGCCAAATTGTTTGATACACGTGTTATCATCATACCAGGCCGTTTGATGGGCCTCCTAAGTGCATGCATCTCATGCTCTAGGGCCCTGGTGCCCAACGAGCTCTGCCGAGTACTTTACTATAATCCTTCCCTTCAGCAAGATTTGGAAGATGAGCGTGAGGGAGAAACAAAACAAAAAGCATCTTAAGCTGCCTAATGGCCATTCCCTTGATAACTGGCATGGGAGTCTGGTTAACATCACGAAATTTAGGAAAGGATTGAACCTACTTAAGAATTGGTGAACCAAAAAAAAAAGATTAAAATAATCTCTTAATAAAATCAGTAATTGGGATGAACTAGCAATTGACCTCTATATAATTTGGAAAAGCAATTGGAAGTATTTACATTAGGAAGAGATGTGGACACTTCTTAAATACGGCCGGCCGCTACGCACAACCGCGTCCGTCTTCAACCTCACATGCTCCACCCCTCCCCCTTCTTCCTCCTTGCCGACGGCCGCGCTCCTCCTCACCATCGCCCCCGCCCCACGCGCAGTGCGTAGGGCTTGGCTAGAGCTCCACGGACGTGGGACTATCTTTCCCCTTGCTGGAGTTTGCCCTAGCCGCGACACCCCGCCCCGACTTGGTCCGACCTCCTCCACTGCCGTCAAGGCCCCTAACCATCCTCCAGCCATCCCCACCACCTGCCTTCCTCCCTAAAACTTCCCTTTCTAAGCCCGCCGGAGTTGGGAAAGATGAGAAGGAGAGCTCATCGGAACCCTAGCTCAGAGATCTAGGAGGACATACCTCGCCGGATCTGCCATGTCTGCCGCCAGATCCGCCTGAAGACTCCATGCCCTCGTCAGATCCGCTCGCCGGAGTTGGGAAGGAGGTCGCCAAAACCCTAGCTCAGAGATCCAAATAGGAGGAGGACATACCTCGTCAGATCCGCCATGGCCGCCGCCGGATCCGCTCGTCGGAGTTGGGGAGGAGGTCGCCGGAACCCTAGCTCGAGATCCAAGAGGAGGAGGAGGACATACCTCATCGGATCCTCCATGGCTGCCATCAGATCCGCCCAAAGATTTTATGCCGTCGCCACATCCACTCGTCGAAGTTGGCGAGGAGGTCACCAGAACCGTAGCTTGGAGATCTAGGAGGAGGAGGAGGACATACCTTGTCGGATCTGCCATGGCCGCCACCGGATCCACCATGTCCGCCACTGGATCCACACGAAGACTCCATGCCATCGTTGGATCCGCTCGTCAGAGTTGGGGAGGAGGTTGTCGGGGAAAAAGAGACAGAGGGGGAGAGAAGAGTCCATGCTGCTACCGGATCCGCTCGCCAGAGTTAGGGAGGAAGTTGCCGGAGATGAGAGAGAGTTGGGTGTGTGAGTGGGGAGTGGAGACTCGTGCGCGCGAGCGGAGTCGCACACGGGCGGCCGTTCATTGGCCCTTAAAAACGGACGGACGTATATAAGTCATTACCAAGAAATTTACTAACTATAGAGGGGTGATCTAAAATGGTTGTCGAAAGGGGATGCCAACACCAATTTGCCAAGCGATTTGTGTCTCCGAAGCCAATAGTAACAGCTAGGTACACTATCATTGACTTCTTATTTTGTGCTGATGTTTGTTTGCCTGGCTGGCTACCTATTACTATTGACTTAAGAAATACAACACTTGGCAATTGCAAGGTCAAAGAGATTGAATCATGAATGGTGTCGCTTGTTCTAAACTGACTTGCAACTAAGATTGTTAAATTCTAGATATCCGCATAAATAACTTGACTAGAAAAAGGAAGAAAACATCACTTGAAGGGTTTTCTCTCAGATTGGTGGTAGGTTTTTCTCTTAGGCCTTATTTGTAAGCATGTGTATCCATTTTCAATCCACATGTGTTGGAGTGGATAGGAATGAAACTTAGTTTAATTCTACTCCAATCCACTTCAACACATGTGGATTGAGATGAATACATGTGCATCCAAACAAGGCCTTAATGGAAACACATGCTATGGCATGTTCCGAAAAAAGGTTGGTGGTAGGTTCTCTTACATGGCTCATTATATTCACACTTTACCAGAATATTTTTTCCCATTTCTCTCATTTCGTTTAAGTGTTTAATACATGGTTGTTTGTGGGATGCATTTTGTTCAACATTCTCTTGTAGCAGACCATTGTTAAGGTAATGTGTTATGAGTTAATTAAGTTGTAATCGTGAAGAGGTTAACCTAGAAGTAGCAATGCATGTGGTGGTGTCTTTGTATGGGTTGCTAGCTCTCATTTACACACTAAAATGACTCACATGCGCTCAAGTGTAGTGCGCATAGTTTACTAGCTAGGTCAATGTCAACCAAATAGGCTCGAAAAGGAAAGTCTATAATTTTTGCATAACTATAAGTGATATTCCTATAATCGTCCTTGCCTATAATTTTTTAACTTAATTATTTGCTATCAAGCCATGTACAAATATTTCTAAAAATCATGATAGATATCAATATATCATGACAGTTTCTGTTGAATGTACCACCCACTCGACTTAAAAAATAGTATTGCTATATGTCAACCGAATTTGTGGTCGCTGGATCCGCGGTCAGACCGTCTCCCTCGTCGGATCCGCATCGTCGCCATGGCCACCGAGGAAGCCGCGGCGGGTAGCAGCGGGAACAAGTTCACATGTCCTTGACGACGATGGTGAAAGGTCCTTGTTGGTTTTGGTAATTGAGTGACAACCTAGGTGGACTAATTGTGTTTATGTGAGATACACAGGTGATTAGTCCATAGGTACATGTGTATGAGCAACATATGCCATGGAGGTGAAAATGGCTTGGAGATGTTGCAAAGCTCACACATGTGATGATGAAGGAGCTTATTGCACATGAGACATGACATTGAGTCATGTGATCAAGGTGGAGAAGATCAAGACAAGACTTGGCTTGATGGACCGGTTGCAAGCGTGAAGGGCAAGTCAAAGGCTTTGAGTGATGGACATGCGTGGCGGTGAAGCTTGAGCAAGACTTGGCTACCGATGGGACGATATAGCAACGGTGAAGAGCAAGTGAAGTCAAGATCGATGAACCAATATGATCACGTGATGATATGAAGTGGATCATATCATTGTTGATCGTGTTGGTGCATGTGTTGCATCGACATTGGAGGAGATGGAATGGAATCATAAGGCAAAGGTATAACCTAGGGCATTTCATTTCACCGGTCATAGGTGTGTAGAGAAGTTTATGACCGGGTTTTAGGATAGATGGTCGTATTTATCAAGAGGGCAAACTTGTTTGCATATCGGTCATCTAGTGCCACTCGAGTGATCTAACTTTGCATTGTCGCTAGGATCGAGTGGCATGGCAAGTTGAGTGGCTAACATCCTTTGGGAAATAATTGTGAAAATGCTAACACACATACACATGGTGGTGTACACTTGGTGGTGTTGGCACATTTACAAAGGAGGTGGTGTTTGCAGGGGTGAGATGGGTTTGGGTCCCTCTCTCCCTCCCGCCGAAGCCAGAGAGCGGGATTCGGCTTTCGAGAAAATAGAATGCCTATTTTCTATTGCGCCGGATGCAAGTTCTTGTGGTTAGCACATTGGAGCAAGGGTGAAGAAGTTAGAAGTGAAAATGAGTTAGTCGCGAAGATGCTGGCGTCGGTCAACTGACCGGACGCTGGATCTAAATGCACCGGACGCTGGCAGGCTGCGTCCGGTCAGGCTGACGTACGAT